ATTGGCACAGGGCAGAGCAGAGTTTAGGGCTGTTGTACATAGGGTCGCTATGAGTCGCAGGCGACTCGACGGCACATAACAACAACAACAACAACAACTATTGTTTAATGTGATTAATAAATTGGACTATTTATTAGGTGCCATCGAGTTGACTACAACTCATAGCAACCCTAAGCACAACACATCGGAACTTTGCCCTGTCTTGTGATATTCTCATTCCTACTATCCTCATACCGTGCTCAAATTCACGGTACTCATTGTGCTTTTTCCTGAAAACACTGTAGCCCTTGTCTATGTGTTGGCAGTGGTGGTGTCACAATGGAGTAATTTATAACAGCAGTTTAGTTGTGTGTTGCGAGAATTAATGCTTCCTGGTTTTCCATCTGTTACAACTCCTGACACCAGATCATTGAGGCTGCACTGTAGCCTGCTCTATGGCAGTGTTTTGAGTCTAGGGGTTAAGGAGTTGCATTGTTAAACCCAAGGCAGGCAGTTCAAATCTACTAACTACTCTTTGAGAGAAATGCCCTTTTGCTGTGGGATCTACCATCTCTGAAAACCTGCTGGAGTGTCAGCAATAAGTTTGTTCTTGACAGCACATAATAATCACAGATCATGAAATTGAACATGTGCAAATGAACATCTTAAGAATTATAGCATCAACAGTTATATGCTGTGTCATGTTGTTTAGGACTGTTGAGTTGGAACCGACTCATAGCTGACCCTCCAGTGGGTTTTCAGAGGCAATAAATTAAAACAGGAGGAGTTTGCCTGTCTTTCTTCTGCAGAGTAGCTGGTAGATTTGAACCACATGCCTTTTGATTGGCGACAGCAGAGCTCCTTAGGTCATTATATGTATGTCTTTTTAATGTAATATATGGTAAAAAAATCCTACCCCAAAACAGATGATAATAAATGCAGTTTGTCAGAACTCACCCTCATTAACCAAAGACCACCAGTATAATATGGATCTTTGGTGGCCTAGTGGCAAGAAGCTGTACTGCAATCCCAAAGGCACATGATTTGAGTTCACCAGCTCTTCTGTGGGAGAAAGATGGACAGTCTTCTTTCCTACAATTAACTGCTTCTGAAAACCCACCGGAGGGTCAGCTATGGGTCAGTTCCAACTCGGGGGCACACAGCACTACCAGTATAATGGAAACATGGTCTCTTATAGTATTCATTTGCCATTAAAAAAAAAAAATTAGATGTAGCCAAGTGTTTCTTATTTGAATTAAGTGTTGTCTGGTTTAAATAGAATTTATTCTATTCACATGTGAGCGGTTGATAGTTTTATGCATATGAGAACTTTTTTATTGGCTCCTAAACTCATCAAAGGCTGTTCTGGTAGAGTACTCCACAAGGAGCTATGCTGTTGACCCAACTGCCACGTCTTTGGCTGTTTGTATCTACCAAGAGGCTTTTCAGGAGAAAGCTGGGCAATCTCTCATGCAGCTGTGAGTCAATTACAGCTCAACAGCAATGAATTTTTTGTTTTGTTCTATTTTTTTAGCAGCGACTTTTTGAGTAATCTCCTTAATCCTGTTTTAGAAGCCCCATACTAAGATCTTGGTCTGTAACCCTGCATATGGTTTTTAACTTTTTTCTTGGGAATAGTTTCAGATGACAAACCAGAAAGCACACTCTTCTCACCGATGCCATCAGAGGAGAAGACCACCTCCCCTCCCAAACCACCCCTCTCAGATGCCTCAGCGACTCCAGTTGGGAGAAGGGGACGGCTGGCCAACCTTGCTGCAACTATTTACTCTTGGGAAGATGATGTAAATCACTCATCTGCAAAGCAAAATCGTGTACAAGAACAGCCTGGTACCACTTGTTTATCCAAATTTTCCTCTGCAAGTGGAGCATCTGCTGGGATCAATAGTAGCAGTGTTAAGCAGGAAGCTACATGCTGTTCTCAAAGGGATGGGGATGCCTCTTTGAATAAAGCCCCATCCTCCAGGGCTGTGGATGCATCTTTGAATAATGCCTTCATTTCTAGCTCTGTGGTAAGTAAGGAAATTTTGATCTTTGGAAGCCTTTTATTTATTTGTTAGAGAAGGTATATGTGTAGGTATGTACTTTATAGTATATATGCAACTATGCATTTTCTGATATATGAGTAGTATGTTTATATATGTAAATTCTAATATATATATATAAATTCTAATATGTATAAATATAAATTCCAATATATATATATAAATTCATATATATGAATACTCTCTTTATAGAAAGTAAAAATCGTGTTTGAAGTCCTACCCCAAGATAAATTAGCAGTTAACAACTACAGTTACAACCATTTAATGCAAGTCCAAAGTAAATAATAATGTAATGGAGTCTTATCATTAGGAAGAACAATGAAAGTGTATTCCTCCATGATATTGCTTTCTATGTGGGTATAAATATGTGACATCAGTTATTTTTGAAAATTGCCCAATAAGGTGTTAAGTGTGGGTAGAACACTTTTCATCCCATCCCTTTGGAAATATTTAAAACTTACTTTGTACATGTTTTAACTGTTTTAAAAGGTAATTTTTAAACAATAGCAACAACAGCTAAAGGTTTCTAAGGCTTGCCAGCTGGAATCCAAATCTGGACTTTGGAATTAGACTTATGTTCAGCCATGGCTTTGTGCCATAACTGGAAGTGTTGCTTTGAATTTCTTGATGCTGCAGAGCCTTGTTTTCCATCCTGTAAAATGGGGGAAAAGGTTATTAGAAGGATTAAATGAGATCATGTACAATGCACTTGACTGTAGTTTTGAGTACATGTTATTGTTCTGGGTGCTATTGTGTTGATTCCAACTCTCCCCCTATGAAAGAGTGTAGCTGTTGTATAATGTTTCCTTGGTCATAATCTGTACAAAAACTGTGGGCCAGGTGGACCCTCCAGTGAACCACTGGCTGGGGTCAAGGCTCTCACTTTTCCTTTATCAGCTGAGCTAATTTATTATAATTAACTATTAAATAAATTGGTATTGACTTTATTAAAAGTAATTGATTTGGCCTAATGCACTTAAGAGTTTAATAGCAGTACTATTATGATAACATAAAAACATTTGTTTCTTAAAATAGGGAACAATTCTTTTTCTAATACAAAATTGAAATCTATTATACCAAGTAACTTTAAATAGCATTTTCTAAGTTAACTTTTCCCTTCAAATCTCTGAATGGTGTCAACTGGTTAGAGAATGGCAAGATTTTTTTTTACCCCATGAGTCTACCTAAGGTTATAAAGTGAATAGGATTTTATTAAAGAAATACCTGTAAATACTGCCATTTATCCTAATATTATGTTTCAGAAAACTACGTCTTCCCCACTTAAGTCTACTACATCCATCACTGTTGCTAAAAAAAGTGAAGTACAAAATCCAGAACTACTTCGAAAAAATCCTGCTAGTCCTCTGAAGACAGAGGTATCTAAACCACTTGTGAAGTCAACTGTTTCCCAAACAGCTCGTTCCAAAGAAGAATTAAATAAAGAAAGTTGTCAGCATCCTCATTCTAAAGATAAATCAGCAACACCAGGTTGTGTATTTTTAGAAAACCTAAAGTTATTGCTATTTTTTTTTAATTTTTCTTATTGTATTATTTTTACGTGTACCGTCAAATCAGATCTGACTGGTACCGGAGGAGATTGCCCCCTCCTTCTCCAGCAGAGCATCTGGTGGATTTGAACTTCGTACCTCTGGGATTGCGTGCTGAGTTATTGCTATTTTGAAGATATTATTCTCAGCATTTAATGTAATTGTGAATTGTACACTGTTGGTCTGCCAGGAAAAAGACCCAGATGTTCTGAATGTGGCTTTAATGGAATGAATGAATATTCATTAGTGCAGACCAGTCCATTTACTGGTCAAAGTATTTATTATGTTTTAATATTTAAATACACTATGTCTAGAATGGCCATGTTAGAGACATTCTTCTATTCTTTTTCATGGAGATAAATCATAGAAACTGGAAATCATTTTAAGGATATTTTTGTAAATTTATTGAAATATAGTCATATCCACGTACTTACATACTATCTGTGAGTACTTTCATCCCATAATGCAAAACTGAGTAGTTGTGTTAGGAAGTTCCATTTCCAAAATACTATCTGAGCCTTTATTGAGAAAGTTTGCCATCTGTGATGTCGATGTATCTCTTTTTTACGTAATACAACCCTGGCATTCTCTTGATGGAGATGACTTAAATCACATTGGCCTTGTTTTAAATATACATCATGATATTTCAAATAAATATTGATTTCAAATTTTGTAAATCAAAATATCTTTGATAAGTGAATAATTTGCTTTTGAGATAAGAAAGAGGGGAAAATTTCCAGGATTTTTATGGTGGTGGTGGATGTGTTATGCGCTATCGAGTCACCAGTGACGCATAGCAACCCTCTGTACAATAGCTCTGAACTCTGCTCTATCTTGTGCCAACCTTCTCTCACACACCCACCCCCATTACCTCAGTCCCTAAGTCAGTCTATCTCATCAAAGGTCTTTCTCTCGTGCTGTCTCTCCACCCTCCCGAACACGATGTCCTCTCCAAGTAAAAGGCTTTGTGAAAGCAAGATTAAATAAATTCACCTATAGAAATATAAGCTGTTGAAAGTTACCATGGCCAGAACACTTGGTAATGTTATAGATTTATTAATGCACATTCAGTCATTCCCATCACTCAGTCTCCGCTTGTTTGTGTATGTGAGTGGTATCTAATTACCACTGATCTCTCACTAGCCACTTGCTCTCTCTCCCTCAGGCCTTCTTATAAAAAGAACTAAATAGTACATGTAAATTTTAAAATGTAGACCAACTAGTTTGATAAAATTTTTCTGTTTTCATACTGCTTACTTTCTGTGTAAGTACTGTGGATAACTGATTGTGCCACCGAGCATACTTCCTTTCTGGATGAATATTCCTAGTCGAATAAGTACCATAACTCCCACAATCAGAGGTTTTTTGTGCAGGAATGCATTTCAGAACTTTTTACTTAGGATTTATATTGTTTTACATTGAATATTTTTCAAAAATAGAAATTTTTTGTTTTGTTTTAGGAGGAACAGGAATTAAGCCTTTTCTTGAGCGTTTCGGGGAACGTTGTCAAGAACATAGCAAAGAAAGTCCAGCACGGAGCACGCTCCATAGGACCCCTATTATCACTCCAAATACAAAGGCAATCCAAGAGAGATTATTCAAACAAAACACATCCTCATCTACAACCCACTTAACACAGCAGCGCAAACAGGTATGAACCAACTGCATTTAACAGCATTACATTGTCTCAGCAGAGAATCTCAAAATCAAAATGTGAATCTCAGTTTTTCTGAGCGTGATTAATAGTATCTTGCTTCTCTGTCACTTTTTTTTATTTTAGAAATATTGTTGTCCTGTTTTCCATATGTCTTGTGAACTCTTAATCTGGAAACTACAGGCAAGGGAGGTTATGGTAGTTCTTTGGTTACTCTTCAATATATTCTGGCTCTTGTGTAAAATATAACTTTTGATGGGTATAGGAACGTGAAAAAGAACTAGCATGTCTTCATGGCCGATTTGACAAGGGCAATATATGGAGTGCCGAAAAAGGAGAAAACTCAAGAAGCAAACAAGAAACCAAAAAGGTAACATGAAGATAAAGAAGTGAATTTGTACCAAAATAATATTGTACTCTTAAGTTGTAGTTTTGATTTGGAATGTAATTACTTATACAGTTCAATTAACTCTGTCCCTTTCCATTCATAACCTCTTAAATGTTCTTAATAGCTCTACTTTTCTCTTCTGATGTTTTGCCATTTCAATGTGATTTCTTCTCTATGTTCACTGATAGCCTTCTCAGAATCAGATTCAAAGTTCAGATTCCTCTTTTAGAAAATAGCAGTTCTAAAATGTTTCTTAGAATCTAGTTGCTCATTGATAATTTTATACCTCTCCCTAAACACCAGACTTTTATACTTTTTTGTAGTACTCCCCAGATCTCTCTTCACCTTTCTAGTATGTTCTGGCAAACTTCATTCATCAGCCTCCAATAAATTTCCTATTTGTAAATGTAAACTATGTGTAGTTTATTTAGGAGGCATTTATATAGCATCTGTAAATGTGTATTTTCTGTTTTGGGGTTGAGAATAGGGTGTGGCTATTGCTCATGTTAAGGTGTGAACTGATTGGATTTGGCCTATTATTTAAAAAGGCTTTTGGGCCATCAGGCCCGTGGCCTTCCGGCCTCGTTTTTGTGGATCTCCAGAATAAATAGGGTTGGAAGCAGAAGTGGCATCCACTTCCAGAAAAGCTTGCCTCCGGAAACTATGAACTTGGATAAAAGATGAAAGTTTTGTGTTCAAGACTTTCATTCATAGGGTTGCTATGGGTCGTCTATGACTCTGCAGCCCTTACCACCACCACCAACAACATATATGCCTTCTGTGTACAAAAACCTCACAGTTTTTGAGAAAGCATCAATACTTCTTATTCATTGACCACATTTTACATGCATATGATTAGTTGAAAATAACTTGAATGAAGTGCACCTTAGTCTTTAAACTGACATCCTTGCCTTTGAGTTGACATATAAGTCACATATAATGCAGCTGCTTCCTGTACTTTTCCTCAGTCTTCTATTTCTGCAAACCAGTTGTAATTTCTCAGATGTACCAATTTTTAAATCACTTTGGTTTTCCTTGATGACTTTCCCTGGAAAATCTCCATTATGAATTCTTCTTTAAGAACAAGATTCAGTTTTAATCCCGTCCCATCCTTGGCCAACTTGTACTTGGTCCTTTTCTAGAAGAAATCCTTATTTCCATCCATGCCACTTATGGATATCTCATACAAAATATTTGTCTTTCTGTAGTTGTTCCAACTTTTCTCCATAGTTTATAGCTCTGGTGGCTTTGTAATAAGGATTTGTGCTGTTAGCTCAAAGGCACACATTTTCAAGCTACTGGCTACCAGCAACCATGTATCAACTGTATCAACTACCAGTATCACTATGACTCAAAGGGATCCTATATGACAGATTCTGTAAGGCCCTAGAGAATTTCAAGGCTGTAGTTTATAATTAGTTTGCAGTTTTTGTTTGTTCTTTTTTATTTTATTGTGTTATTAAAGTTTAAATAGTGCAATTGTTTTTGTTGTTGTTGATTGCCTTTTGAGTCGAGCATGACTCATAGTGACCCCATGAACAAAAGGCCTGAAGCCCTCTACAAACATCGACACTTATCAAAGTTCATAGAGTTTTCATAGGCATGTTATTTAGGAAGTGAATGCCACTCCTGCTTCCAATATATATATATATTTTTTTTTAACCAATGGTCCCTTTCACATATTTTTTTTTTAAAATACAAGGCAGCTTGCATAGACTAGTAACCCTTGTTTGTTTCACATAAAAAAGGTAAATATTTTGAGAAATAAAATTTCTTTCTTTTCCTTTACTTTTTGCAGGACATTTACTGTCAGAACACACCCCTCAAAAAATCTCAAGTTGTTTCAGATACTTCATCACTTCCAGTAACAGAAAAAGTGACTGAAACCCAGACACCAGCAGAAACTCCTAGCACAGAACCTGCAGGTCTGTTGGTACTTTATTCAAAATGTGCCTAAATTTAGGCTATTAAAATTTTTTTTGAGACTGAAAAGCAGAAGTGCTGCTCTGGTACGAAAAGACAGATGCATTTTTTCAACTGATATGATTCTTCATTAGGGTGAGAATTCATACACTCTGCATGCTAGTATAAATTACTGTACCCTTCTTGGGGAGAAAACTCAGTAGTATTTCCTGAATTATAAAATGAACACACCCTTTGATCCAACTTTTTGGCAAGTATTTCTGTAAAATTAATTTCTCGAGCTATTATTCAAAGATATATCTACGAAGAAATTCTCCGTAGCACTGTTTATAGTAGTAATAATAATGACCTAAATTCCTATCAATATAAAGTGGTTGAAATAAATTATAGTATACTCATGTAACCAAAGATTATATAGCCACTTGTATGCTTAATAGAACTTTATATATAATGATAAATCATGGTTACATCATTAGGAATTAAAAAAAGGTTACAGAATATCATGCATAATATGATCACCACTGTTAACTTCCCCAAAAATGTGTAAGCATATGTGTATGTACTGGGAAAATCAAAAGAACAAGCAACCACCTTTCTTCTCTCTTGATGTTGAAGAAGAGAGAGATGGCACAGTTCAGAAATGATAAATGTTTGGGGGTTTTCCATATATATTTCTGTATTTTAATATTTCAAAACAAATCTACAATATTAAAACCCCCATATATAAGATTCCTTAGCTTATAGACTCTAGGCACTTTTATATCTTAAATGTGTATATGTGTGAGTGTGTGTGTACGTGCACGCGCGCGCGCGCGCGCGCACACACACACACACACACACACACACACACACATACATACATATATTGTACTAGGGAGCTCTGGTGGCCTGGTGGTAAGGAGCTGTGCTGGCAACCCAAAGGCATGTGGTTCAAATCCAGCAGATGCTCTGTGGGAAAAAGATGGGAAATACTTCCTCTTTGATCTGTTGTGTCTAAAAACCCACTGGAGGATTAGCTATGGGTCGGATCTGACTCCACAGCACATAATAACAATATGCATTATTATATATAATGTTATATTTAGTTTTATGGAAGCAGGAGTGGCATCCACTTCCTAAATAACATACCTCCGGAAACTCTGTGAACTTTGATAATTGTTGATAGTTGTAGAGGGGCTTCAGGCCTTTTGTTCATAGGGTTGCTATGAATCGTGCTCGACTTGAAGGCAGTCGACAACAACAACATTATGTAATATGTTATAAATAATATTATAACTAATGTGATATATTATTGCATACCACAACAAAATTATTATTAATGCCAATATAATATTAAGAGTTAATATTAATGTACATATATTAATAGAAAAAAAATCTTTTCAGCTTCCACTGAACGTGAAATGACGAAGTCTAGCCCTTTGAAAATAACACTATTTTTAGAAGAAGACAAGTCCTTAAAAGTAACACCAGAAACAAAGATTGAGCCGCAGATTGGTTGGTCTTCATTCTTTTCTTACTAATTCTCAATATACTATTTAACGCCATGTATTGTTAGAAATATATATTAAGTTATGCAGTGTTCCTATATTTCATGTTGTCTTTTAAAAAAATGCTCTTTTTTCTCATTCTTTAAACTAAGAAATGCCCTAGCTTCCACAAAGATATGGACTGTTAACAGTTATCTTTAGGCCCCAGAACCCTGTGAGAATCTAATTAGGCCCGTCACTCGCTTTCACAGGAAAGGCCCTGTGCTGCCCTCCTCCCACGTTCTACATGTTCTGTGTTAGAGGGATTATTGGCCCGTGAGGCCTATTTGCTGTCCCTAGATTAACAACACCTTTCCTAAATTTCTAGGAGGGTAATATGGTAGGGTGGTTCCAGCAATAAAGGTCAGTTTTAAAGATTGTGTGTGGGTGTTTTATTTTGGTTTTTTTTGTTTTTTTTTTTTTAAGTCTGAAGTTCTAATCCACTAGATGCTCCACTGAAGAAGAAGGGGCAATCTCTTCCTGTGCCAGTCAGATCCTATTCGATGGCACACAACAAACTAAAAAAAAAAAAATCTGAAGCTTTGGCTATTATCCTGAGTTCTGAGTTAATATACTTTCTTAAACTCAAAGAGTTGAGTCAACTTTTATAGTCCCAAACTTTGTTATATAGATATTACTGGAACTTAGAAAAATTAATTTTATGCATTAGTGTCATTTATTACTATTTTTGTTTGTTTTTGTGTACTTGTTGAATCGAAATTGACTCTACTCTAGCAGGTTTTCAGAGGCAGTAAGTCATGCAGGGGTTGATTGCCCATCTTTCTCCAGCAGAGCAGCTGACGGATTTGAACCATGTGCCTTGGGTTGACGGCACAATTTCTTAGCACTAGGCCACTTTATCTCATGCCTTCCCTACTTTTGGTTTAGTAAGCATGTGGATATTGGATCTTCTTTGCTTTCTCTTTATTCTTAAAGATCTGAATCATTATATCTGCCTATTGCCCTGTTTTTCAGAAATTGTACGTGAAATTGAGATGAGTGTGGATAATGATGATATCAATAGTTCAAAAGTGATTAATGACATCTTCAGTGATGTATTGGAAGGTGAACTAGATGTGGAGAAGAGTGAAGAAGGAATGGATCAAGCAGAAGTAGAAAGCAGCGAAGAACAGGAAGATGCACTGAATATCTCCTCAATGTCTCTGCTCACTCCATTAGCACAGACAGTTGGAGTGGTAAGTCCAGAGGTAAGAAAAGACTACATGTAGACAGATGTGTGACAGGGAGAAATGAATTGTTATCGCAACCCCTACTTAATTTAGTCTTGGTAGAAGGGGAATTGACATTCTGTAACCAGGGGGTTTTCAGACTTGCCCTCAGTTCTTTGCTTAAAACTCTTTAATGGTTTCTGCTGTTCTTGGTTAAAATCCAGACTCTGTAACATGACTTAAAAGGCTTGATATTGGAGTTAAGTCCTGGTTTTGTCATTTTTTGACTGTTGATTGAACATATGCCATCATTCTTTCATCTATTAAATAAAGTTCGTAAGAGTACTGAAGAGCAACAATGTCAGGCTGGAGACTAAGGTGCGCCTGATCTATAGTCTTCGCAATTACGTGCTATGCATCAGAGAGCTGGACAGTGAATAGGGATGATAGAGAATTGATGCCTTTGAGCTGTGGTGCTGGAGAAGGGTGTTGAATATATCATGGACTGCTAGGAGAATAAACAGGTTTGTCCTGGAGAAGGTGAAGCCAGAAGGCTCTTTGGAGTCAAGGATTCTGAAGCTTTGTCTGACATACTTTGGGCATGTTGCAAGGAGGGACTGGTCCTTGGAGAGGGACATCATGTTTGGCAGAGTGGAAGGGGGGGCAGGAGAGGAAGACCCTTGATGAGATGGATCGATTCTGTGACTGGAGTGGTGGGAATGAATGCGTTTGAGATGGCTAGGTTGGCACAGGATAGAACGGCGTTTAGGGCTCTTGTACATAGGGTCGCTATGAGTTGCACGTGACTCGATGGCACATACCACCACCACCGCCACAATGGTACCTATATCATGGCTTGTTGTGAATGTGAAATCAGATTATTTTATTAGTACTTATTACCAAATCCATAATTAACATTTACTGAGAACTAACTGCTGTAGTAATTGTCACCCAAAATAAAATCATTGTAGCACTGCTTAAAAATGGATTCAAGTAAAAATGTCAATTTTAGAAAGAGTTAAAAATGTAGATTTCGAATGTTTCAATACTTTTCATTTATTCATTTGGTTTTTAGGAACTTTTGCTAGTTTTTCTGTGCTTTGTGTTGAATTGGTTTTGATGTGTTGGATATAGTCTTATATTAATGATGGAGAATAATTGCTTTTAACTTAGAATCCATGATAATCATTCAGAATATATACTGACTTGATGTATTTTCTTACAGAATTTTGTTTCATCACCTCAACTGGAATTGAAAGACACCAGCAGAAGTAGTGAAAGCCCAACGCCTGGAAAATTCCAGAGAACCCGTGTCCCCCGAGCTGAATCCCGTGATAGCATTGACTCTGAAGATTGTGACCTCCTTTATAGGTGAGGACATTTTTGGAAAACATTCACTCTTTAAAAGTCATGACTCAGATTCTTGACATGACAAAGATATGCTATAGCTTATACTAGTAATGCCATTAATAGCTTATCTGTATGACAGTTTGGAAAAATTTTTCTTGTCTTCTCTCTCACCAAATGCCTTTTTCCGTTCTGTGGATTTCTGTTAAGATATTCAGTAAAGCATAGTGTTCACTGTGTTGCTGACCTCTGCTGATATGTGTGCCTTATCTCCTGAAGCATTGATGCATATAGATCTCAACGAATCAAAGAAACAGAACGACCTTCAATAAAGCAGGAGACTGTTCAGAAGGAAGATGTTACTTCAAAAGTGAATGAAAAGACTGCTTTTTCTGGTCAAGTTAACCTCAAACAAAAAATCCAGGTATGTTCTTCTGTGGAAAGAGGTTTTGGCTTATTTTCTGCTGTAGACTGTGAGTTCTGAGAACAAAGGTTCAGGCATATACATTTTGTGCCTTTAGAGCTTTGAACGGTATTTCACATATAGGTGCTCAGTACTTTCAAAAAAGGTTCATTCTTTTGAAAAAGTGGAAGATTGCTTGATGCTGATGAAATGCTTATTTTTAAAGATGTTTGTAAAAAAAATTATTGTGTGGAATTACTCATTATGTAAAAGAGAGGTGTTTATTTGCTCTTCATGGTTATTCGTTGCCACAGAATTAAGCACCCCTGGCAGGCGTGCGCGCTCATGTGTGTGTGTGTGTGTGTGTGTGTGTGTAGCTCCCCACAAGGCTTTCAAAGGTGTGACCTTGACCTTGTGGGAGCGGCTACCCTGTCTTCCAAGGTGGTTCTGGGTGGGTTTGAACTGCCAATTTTGCTCATAGAAGTTCTTTTTTTAATAAGAAAAGAAATAATTTAAAACAATAATATGCATATTTTATAAAATCCAGTGGTGATTGATTTTATGAAACAATGTATGAGAATGATTTGTATGCAATATAATGTGAATGATGTATATTGTGTGAAACATAAATGAACTTTGTAAGCAAACCAATTAAAAGAAATAAAATAATAATGTAATATATAACAAAACCAAAAACCAACACCATAATATACATGTAACTTAAATAAAAGGAGCTGTGGTGGCCAGCGTAAAGGAGAGAGAGCTGTACTCCTAACAAGGTAGAGCTTCACTACTGGGTCCAGTCCACAAGTGGCTCTTTGGGAGAAGGAAGCATAGTCTCCTCCCATGCAATTTATAGCTTCTAAAAACTTTTCTGGAGGATCAGCTTTGTGTCGATTCTGACTCAATGGCAGTGAGTTTTCAACATAAATATATCAGGTGATTTCTGAGTCTCTAATCTGTTTACTATAGTTCTTATTATAATTTTTGTTAAGTATGAATTGACAATTTCTTCATAAGGAAGAATGCTTATCCTTTATTTTCTTTATAGGATAGTAATTAGTGTATAATCAGTAAAAGTCTGGTGGGTGGTTGGTTACACTGAGTATTGTAATTAAACAAAATAAGGTGATCGGAATGGGAGAAGGATGGGCAGTCTTCTCCCGTGCGATTAACTGCCTCTGAAACCCCTCTTGAGGGTCATCTATGGGTCGTTTCCATCTCGAAGGAACACAAGTCAATGAAATCAACTTGAACAATGACATTAACATATCAACATTATTCTCTAAAAATTATCTAAACAGAATAGCTAAAATTAGAGTGAAAATGGTAATTAAAAATGTGTTTCAACCTCCAATTGATTTCACCAGGACATCAATAATGAAATAAATTTGCAAAAAATGGTGATTTCTCAAACAAGCCAGGCCCTTAACTGTTGTGTTGATGGAGAACATGGGAAAGGATCGCTGGAAGAAGCTGAAGCAGAAAGACTTCTTCTAATTGCAAGTATGTGTGTACAATATATCAGAGGCACTTTAAACACATTTTCAAGTCAGAGAAAGCTCAAATAATTTTATCTATTGTATTGAGACATCAGTAGTTTTTGAGAAGGAACTGTAATAAATCTATTCCAATTTTATCTATTTTTTTTAATACCTATGGCTTTGTGAGATTTTGTTTGTAAAATACAATATAGTTTGTATTAAAAGTGAATGATTCTGTAATTAATTTGAAAAAAATGTAGTTGTGAAGTCTTAAGAGTGAAATTATAAAAATACATATTACATTTATACTATAAATTCTAGAAAGAATTTTTTTTAGCTTATGTGTGGTGGTGACGGCTTATGGGAGCTGATTTTGGGGATTCTTCTGCTCAAGAAAATGTACCGAAGTTTCTGGCTTAGGCAAAAGTCCCACATCAGTGCACTTGCTTGTCGTGGCTCTCATGCAGAAAGGGTGGTAGTGTTAACATTAGGTGTACTAACTTGCATTATTTTTCTAAAGCGGAGAAGACGACACTTTTGATTGATGAACTGAATAAACTGAAGAATGAAGGCCCTCAGAGAAAGAATAAGACTAGTCCTGTATCCCAAAGTGAATTTGCCCCATCCAAAGGCTCAGTTACTTTGTCAGAAATCCGCTTGCCTCTAAAAGCAGATTTTGTCTGCAGCACTGCTCAGAAACCAGGTATGCCTTGTAACTTGCATCACTACGACATGTTATGTTTCTTTATGAATATCTCTAGCTTGTAAATGTGTTCCGTAGGCGAGCATGAATAAAGATGCAAAACTATTATCTTGAGCTTTTAGTCTGCTCAATCAAAATATGTGCAAAAATACTCAGGGAAAATGCCATATTTTGGGTTATTGATCCACACAATAAGGTAGAAAGCTCTGAGAGCTGAATGGTATGCACCATTCAGCTCTGAGAGCTGAATGGTATGCACCATTCAGTCAGATCCAACCTGTAGCTAGCTGACCTTCCAGTGGATTTTCAGAGGCAGTAAATTGTATGAGAGGAGACTGCCCATCTTTCTCCTGTGGAACAACTCCTGGAATTGAACAGAATTGGCAGCACAGCTCCTTACCACTAAGCCACCAGAACTTCCTGGCTCTGGGTAGTTGTTATTGTTAGTTGTCATCAAGTCGAGGACATAGCAACCCTGTAACAGTTGAGCTGAACACTGTCCTATCACGTGCCATGCCCACAGTCTCTGACACACTCAAGCTCATTGCTGCAGTTACTGTTTCAACCCACCTGGTTGAGGGTCTTCCTCTCTTTTACTGCCCCTCCACCTTTCCAAGCATGATGTCCCTCTTCAAGGAATAACCTCTCCTAGCAACATGCCCAAAGTTTGTGAGATGAAGCTTCATATTCTTTGCCTCCAAAGAACACTCTGGTTTCACCTTCTCCAAGAAATATCTGTTTGTTCTTCTGGCAATCCATGGAGTCTGCAGCACTCTTCTCCATCACCAGGGTTCAAAGGCATCAATTCTTGTCATTCTTAGTCATTGTTCAGCTCTCAGATGCATAGCTAGCTCTGAGAATAGCCAGTTAAAAATTATTTGTAATATATAGTGTTTTCCTAAGAGCAATTGTAGGAGAACAGACATTTTAGCTTTCATGTATTAATTTTATCATTGAAAATTACATCTAAAAGAACTTAATTTTAATATTACTTTATTCTAGTTGTAGGGGCAATGATTTTTTTATTCTTTTTGGTCCTCAGCATTGGATAACCATAGTAAATTATTTCTATGCTATTTTTTTTTTTTAAATTTAGGTTGTTTATTTTTCATTTCAATGAACATCTACAGAGATTTTGGGATTCCATT